GTCTTGGATGTTACTACACAGCAGAAAACCCACCTGGTGGCCAAAAGCAGGCCAAAATCTCCTATGTGGGTTCTGTGCCTAAGCGTGCATTGCAGTTCTTTGAGTCAAGGCACTAATGTGACTTCAGTCTCTCTCCTCCATCTAGCTGTCTATTTTCTCAACACTTGTAGGAACTTAAACATCCTTGAGCCCTCCATCACTGTCAAACTGAGTTGGGCTTGGCTGACAGATTCAAAGGTCCTTGGTGGGGATGGGAACGTGCCCACATGCGTGTGGAGTATGTAGTTGAGATGCCTTACTTCCTTAGGAAACCAGAATTTTAAAAAAATACTCTAAATTACTTCCCTTTCTCTAATTCTTGGTTAATACTTAAATGTTTCCGCAATACAGATTGTGACATGATTTCAACTTTGAGCCTATTTGACCTAAGAGTATAACCCCTTTTGCCTAAAACTTCTGCCTCTGTCTTTCATTAAACCGACTATTTAAGTGCATGCCTGAAACCCTCTCCTACTTGTGGCCTCCAATGGTGGGCTAACGTGTATTTAATGCTGATATAAGATCACTGATACTTTTCCCCATGGTGTGATATACAGGCTGAAGTAATTTTTCTTTGCTAAAATCCACAGTTTCTGCCATGGGAAAGACTGTTTTTTATGAGCGCTATTATGTGCTTTGAATGAGATTGCAACAAAGGGAGATTAGCTAATTACTCCAGGGTCTTTCTTCCTTTAGTGTGTGGGAAAGCTTCATGGCTGACGTCCATATGCATCGGCCAGAAAGCCGTGGGAGAGCAGTCCTGCCACCCCATACCTGAACATCTTGAGCTACCCCGCTGATTTCAAATGACTTGCAACTCATGAGTGCATTTGGATCCATGTTGCTCTTCTCTGAGGGACTCTATGCTGTGCTTGATGCCATAAATAGCATTTGAGTGCCATGAAGCAAGATGACTCCCATCTGTCAGTCTGGGAATGCTAGCCAGCTGCTTAAGGAAATCTGGGGACATAAGAGTGATTTAAAGAAAAAAAAAATCTGTAGTGGAATTTAGTCATCCTTGTTTCTAGTGAGTGTTTATGCTGTAACTAAAGCTTTATCAAACAGATGCTGTGAGATGTTCGAAGGGCGGTGAAGGCTCACTTCGTTGCTGTAGGAGTCAGCACCTGTACGGAGTGGGAGGGGGAACCGGTTGTGTTAATTAGAGCTGGGAACCGTGGGCCCAGCATGTTAAGAAGGGCCCCGTTTCATCCTGTGCCATTGGGCGTTAGCCCTGTAGTGAAGCCATTCCCAATCTCTACAGCTGGCTGAAATGTTTCAAAATGCACATTTTGGTGCCGTCTTTTAACCCTGGATATTTCAGCTGCCTCTGTGAATGTTAGTCCTTTCTTCTGCCTGCTGTAGTGAGGCCCCGCTGTGCTTACTCCTTGCTTTGGTCAAGCGTCTTCTCTGGGGAGAAATAAGCCCTGGATGTTGTTATCTCTGCCCCAAGGCTGCTAATTTCCAGGCTGCTGAACTGGTGATGTGGCTTATAATTTTCCCCATTTTTGTTAGCACCGCCTGTGATTCAGAAGAGTCTCGCCTCGTGTCTTACTTAACTTGGGTTTGGCCCCTCTCTTACTAAATTGTAACCAGTGTTTCTAAGTGTCCATTAATACCTCTGGAAGCCTCCAGTTAGCAGCAAACCCAGAACATCTGGGTGATGCCTCATAACTTTGGCGCTGAAGAGATCTCTTGCATTTAGCTGTCACTGTCTGTGGACAGTCTTTTGTATTAACAAGAGTCATCTTCCCACCTCTATGGTGGGAACTTCTTGTCCAGAAAGTCCAAAGTTGTTTGGCAGAGGCAGCTGTGAACCTCAGTCTTAGCTGAAGGACTAGACATGCTCCAGAGCATTTATAGTGACAAAGCCATTCTTTTTGGGTTGCCCTTATTGAAGGAAAGCCAGACTTTCAGATGTCATTGAAGAGTGCTCCTGTTTCTGCCCCTCATCTTCACTTCTCCATAGACATCAGCCCTGCTTTCAGGAATTGCAAGGAATCCTTAAAATCTATAGTCTTGCATGAGAAGGTAGGTCCTGTGGCTTACTGTAGGCTTGCAGGAGCTCCTGGGCGTGTGGCAGCTTGAGCTAATAGCTCTGGCAGTGTTTCTGAGTTCCCGACATGTCGACTCTGAAATGTCCTGAAGGTCAGCCTGAAGCCATCCAGGACAGGGTCGGGGGGCCCTCGTGGCATGTGGAGGACACTCACCTGCTTTGGTGGTCGTGGTCACATGCTCCTCATCTGACAGCACATGCAAAGGCCACCATCGCAGCAGCTGCTCACTCTGGGCTGCCCCATCACATCCCACCCGCACGCCTGAGCACCTCTGATTTGTGCCTCTGCTCCTTTGCATGCAGGAAATAAGGCACATAGGAAGTGCACACAACCGGAGCGCGGTGCCCTTCACTGCTGCCATGGCTTCTGCCCCCAGAGTGATCACTGCTCAGTACAACAGCCCAGCAGGCCTCTACTCCTCAGAGAACATCCAGACCTTCAACAGTGCGGTGGAGTCAAAGACATCACCTGGGGCCCTGGAGCCTACCAAGCCGTAAGTATCTTCCTCGCCTCCCCTCCATGCCCGGGCCCCCAGGGGAAGGCTCCAGGAGATGCGAGTTCGCTGCAAGAGTACCAATTTGTTAACTCAGAAAAGCTCTCTTTCAGGACAAGGGAAGGAGCAGAGGCACGAGCATGGATGTGGTTCCCAGGGGCAGGGCTCGGAGGAGCGGGGAACATTTCATGAGATGCAGAAATTAAAATAATGCTGTTGTGTTTCTTTGTTTAGCAGAGACCGACGCAGTTTCCACGTGCATTCAGCATGACATACCAGCCCGCTGGTCTGAACAGGTGCCTGATAGCTTGTTACGAGCACTTTGTAAAGTTAGCAATTTGTGCTGGCTTTGCGGGCAATGCTGGGCAGGAAGGGTACCGGCTAGAACATTTCTTTGTTTAGCAGAGACCGACGCAGTTTCCACGTGCATTCAGCATGACATACCAGCCCGCTGGTCTGAACAGGTGCCTGATAGCTTGTTACGAGCACTTTGTAAAGTTAGCAATTTGTGCTGGCTTTGCGGGCAATGCTGGGCAGGAAGGGTACCGGCTAGCACAGGAAGCACATGTGTCCCCGTTCCTGGCTGGCCTGGGATTCATAGACAGGCTTTGCCTAAGTTTGGATCTTTCTATTTTTTATTATTGAACCTTGTTTTTCACAGGAGTTTTAAAAAGTAGCTGAAACATTCATACCTGTGTGAGCAATTTTCAATATGGGTTTGGAAAGGGTCTCAACCTTAAAAGGGCCTACTGATTTTTGTGGTTGCATCTGAGCTTCACCAAAGACATTATCCCACAAGTCCAAAGTTCCTCTTTTTTCATTGAAAGCAATAAACCAGGAGCTTTCCAAAATCTTTCTGGCTGTGTTGGTCAAGTTGCTTAACAGCCCTAAGTCTCTGTGTAGCAGTACCAAACTGCCAGGAAGACTGGCCACTTTTACAACAAAAGCTGCAAGACCAATGCTTTAGGTGATAATCTGCTAAATTCCTGACTTGTGAATGCGGAGACAAAAGTAACTTCAGCCTCTGCTTTTGCAGGGCACAAAGACCTGAGACTGTGGTTTAACACAAGCCTGAAAACTTGCCCCTGACTGAAACCGGCTTCTTGGGCTGGCGGCCCCGTCTGCAGCATGGGCCCTTCTAGGTAGTTATGGTGCTGCAGCTGGCAGATGAGGTGACAGATGTTTGTTCCTCATTTGCTTCTGGTAGACCTCAGCAGTCTCATTCAGGGGCTGAGCAAAGGCAGAGCAAGGGTGAGGGAATGTGTTAACCTGATGGGACCATTCGGCAGTCAAACACCACCTCTGGTCTAGTCTGGAGTCCTCTCCAGATGAGAGCACTCCTGGAAGCCAGGTATATTTGGCTGGAAACTTGTGGGTGATCCCTTTTTCTTGCAGGGATCAGCAAAGAGGTGGGTTTCTTCTAGTGCTGTGGCTCACTGTGCTCCTCCTAGCAGGAAGGTCCATTGCCAGCCCTGCTGCGTGTGGTGTACATGGCATCTCTTTCATCTTTCCCTTGCTGAAACACAGCAAGTTGCAAAGGAATGCTGGGGGGACTGTGGATGAGACCTTCGATGCATACAGAGTCATCAAAAAAGCGAAAGCAAATGAATTGCTGCTGTTCTTCAGTGAGAGTCAGGGGCTTCGCCCTGCCATTAAAAACCCACTGTGGTCTCCCCAGTGCACAAGCAAAGGATGTGTAGGTTCTCCCTTCACACAGCCTTCCAGCTGCCTTTAAATTCCTGCCTGTCTGTTTTGCTGAGTTATTTGTACATGGCCAACCTTGCTCTGGGTTTACCTGGCGTTTATCTGCATCCCCATCCTGTACCCAGCAAGACACACAGCCTATCTGAACCTGGCAGCCTGATCCTGCCACTGCACGTGGTGATGTGACACGGGGACCTGGTCCGTCCTTAGAGGGTGTGTGATGTGAATGCAGGGCTGTGGTACAGACAGAAACACCAGCAAACATCTCCACTGGATTTGGTGTCAAAAGCGGGCAGGGAGAAGCTGAGCACATCTGTTTTGGGATCGGAGGTGAGATTGCCCCTCGGTAGGGCACCCAGGCTAGCTTTGGGAAGGGCAACAGCGAAGGTGGCATTCCTTGGCTGGACAGTGGGACCATAGGTAGCTAGTTCATAGTGAAACAACTGCTGCCATGTCTTCAGTGCTTTTATAACCCCTGCATTTGCTCAGCAGTAGAGCAACTGCATTTTAGTTTTTGTGAGGACACACCTGGGGTGCAAGACCAGAGCCACAGCATTAGCCAGAAGCCTTTAATATAAAGCCCTGTATTCAGTGGTGTGTCCCTCCGGCACAAGGAACAGACAGTATTCTGCAACCGCTTGTCTCGCTTGGCATAGTTGGTTTAGCCCTTCATTAATTTCTTCCTTCTTTCCTTTCTTCCTCCTCTTCATTTTCCCCTCAATTCCACGATGTAAAACCCAAATGAACCCCAAAACAACCACAACTCAAACTGCCCACGTGAACACGTGGGCCCGTAGGCGCCCATCGCCGATGAGCGCGATGCAGGCTCCCTTCGCCTCCGTCTATAACCCTCTGCAGGCACAGACCTCCGAGCTGCCGCAGCGGAGGCACAGCACCTCCTCCGTCCCCAGCCAAGTTCGAGTGGGGCCAGAGCAGCTGAAGCGCGCAGCCCAGGTCTGCCCCAACAGCCCCGTGGAAGTGGAAGTGCCGGGACTCAAAGTGGTGCATGTGCAGTTCAATTCTCCCCTGCAGCTCTATTCGCAGAGCAACATCATGGATTCCCTGCAGGGGCAGATCTCTTCTGTTAGCCCCGATTTCCCCAGGTAACCTGCCCGCTGCCTCTGCAGCCGGCTCAGCACATCCATTCATCTGCATCTCAGTGTCCACGAGTGCCTCGTCCCTGTTTGTGGCTCTCGGCATTGGCCGGTCACAAGGAAGCAGCATTTACATTTCACCTTTCCAACATTAGTGCATGACTCTTCACAGGGGCTTTCTCTGCATTGTGTCTGTGTCCAGTGCCACAGGAAGCATCAAAACATCATTTCAGCCTGTCAGTGCACCCACACAGCAGGGCCTTGACAGCAGCTGGTGGCTTTCCTGGAGCAGCCACCTGCAGCATATGGATTTGCTGGGGCAGGAGAGTACGTTATCGTGAAAGCTGGTGTTTCTCCTGCACTGAAATGGCTGCTGTTGTTTGTGACGGGAAGGTGCTGCCGCACATGTCCTTGTGCTTTTGTTTTGCTGGCTGTGGGCTGGGCCATGGGTATGCGTGGGGCATGTTTCATTTCAGGCTGAAGTGGGTCTCCATCTTTGCCTGATACTCATGAGTTTGGAGCAGCCTGACCAAGCACCAGGCACGTGGAGAACCCAGTCTGTGTTCCCACCCCTGCCCATTTTTCTGCACAGGTTGCTGCTCTTGGGGCTGCCTCTTTGCCCATAGGAGCAGAGGATGCTCAACATGCTCTGAGGTCTGCAGGACCTGCAGAGAGCCTCAGCATCACAAGGCCTGGGTGCTCTTTGGTGCTTGCTTTGTGGCAATTGGGAACCAGCCGGCCCATGCCTCTAAATGACAGCCCATGGGGTTTTACAGGGAGGACTTCAGTATCAAGACAGGTGAAGCAGAAAGCACATTTAGCCATCTCACAGGAGGGCTCCAATCACGGCTGAATTGTTTCAGAAGATGTGACCCTTCAGCAGAGTTGCGGCCGTGTGACGTGGTCCAAGGAGGTGGTCCGTCCCATGGCCTCCATGGGGCAGAGTGAAAGGGTGCAGCCAGATCTCATAGCTCCTCGGCGGCTCACAGTCCCCTCCTGGGCTGAGCAAAACATGCTTCAAAGCAGAAAAATTGGCATGCTCACCATGGACCCACACAGCCAAGCTTTGCCGTGTGCCAGCAGCCAAGAGATAATGGGAGGCTGTGGATTTACTCCTGCCTCATTACTCAGTCCACTTGCTTGCTGTAAGTCACTGCTCTGGCTTGCGGTCGATAGCGTGCACGCCAGGAGCGGTCACGCTCTGCTGGCTGACTGTGCTGGTCCGGACGGCTGATAACACTCACAAAGGAGCCCCAGGCGTCGGCAATTGTTTCATTGCAAAAGCAAGGTACTGGGCCTTCCTGTAGCCCAGCTTTGAGATCCTTGTAGACTTTACAAAATGTGCTAGCATGAAATAGTAAAATGATATTAGTAAAGAATAAGCTGTGCTTTTCTGAAGACACTGTGCAAAGCTGTCTTTATGTTTTTTATTACCATCTTCTTGCCAATTTTCAAAGCTCAATGATCCAGTCTTATTCAGTCAGCATTGCAAGTTGCCCATGGTAGAAACAGTGAAATCCAGTAACGGTTGTGTGAGTCTGAAATCCAGTAAAGGTTGTTGGAGTTGTCCCCTATAAAGTTTCTGCATCAGGGAACTCCTGCGCATGGAAAAGGACACCAGTTGCTGGTGACTGCTGCAGATAAAGTACCTGTGTAACAGGAGGTGCCATAAATCAGCCGACATACGGAGACTCATTATCCTGCAGGCACAATTCCTGTGCTTGTGGCCTTGCCCATTCAAAAGATGCATGTGCTTTTTGATGTTTTTTGGTTGGTTTGGTTTTTTTTTTTCCTTTAAGCAGCATAGCCTTCTGCCCTGACAAGTTGAGGTATTTCACTCTGCTGGCACAAATCCTAGGATTTGGGGTTTTTTTCATAGTCTTTCAGAAGTCTTGTGTATGCAAGTATATGTATAGGGTGCATACCTGGGAGAGCTGATCTGTATGTTTTGCACACTGTCACAATGCATGGTTGAAATGTGATGGCTTTGTTTGACTCTAGTGCTCTTTAAGATGATTTAGCCTTTGTTTTTTGAATGCATGTTAGCGAAACATTCTTAGTATGTAAACTGCAATGACAGACTTCTTGCCTAATGTTTTTATGAGTGGATAGAGTGGTGGGAGTATATGTATTTACATAAGATGAATGTAATGTGGAGCATGGATTCATTTGGGATAACCTAGGATATTTTCTGTGTAATAGAAGGCACATCATTATTTTATTTTGGATGAGAGACTTCAGTAAATGAGATTCAGCCTTCAGGGGTTCAGCTGCTTGCAAGTCTAATGTGCTTCCTGCTCTGCTGAAAATTACTAAAGATGGAAACATTTTATGAAATTCTTTTTATGGAAATAGCATTTTATAACACATGCAATGATTTTTACCTCTGATGCTTGAAGAGTTTATTATGTAGAGTAACTCCCAGATGACTCAATTGCACATTGGCATGGAAAGTATGCAGTTGCCTCCTCAAGAAAAAGATTTCCCTCTGCAATTTAGTCTGAATTTCAGGATGTTTATGTACTTTTCAGGCAATCACAGGGTGCAGGGGAGGTGAAACCTAATAGACCATTTACGTTTATAAGGCTGCATTATGTAATTGAGTTGTCAGAGGAGACTTGTTAGTTGTGTCATTTTTCCAGAGATGTTTTATTCCAGCCACAGAATACAAGGCAGGCAGGAACCTCCCATGTCATTTAGTGCATCCCCTAGCCCAGCATTTGGTCAATTTAAACCATTGATTTAAATCATTCTCAGCAGCTAATTGTCCAGACTCTTTTTAAATCCTTTAGTATGGAGGTTGCTCACCTGTTCATGGCAATCTCCTCTGGTACTTCAGTGTCTGTCTGTTGGAAAGCTTTTCCCAAGGGATATTCTGAATATCCTCCTGCAGTTTTAAGCCTGTAGTTTATCCTGTACTCACTGGATGTGGAGAACATCCTAGGTACTGCCTCCAGCTCTTTTTTTTTTTTCCTAAAGACCCTTCCGGTGGCACAATGACCACCCTTTCAGCCACCCTGTACTGTGAAAAGCTGCTCCTGAAGCACCTCGGGCTCTAGGCTGAGGGTGCAATTCCCTCATGACGAGAGTGGCAGCAGCAGCACCTCAGGAGGCAGCCAAAAGGAGGCCTTAGTCTTAGCAGGCAAAAGGTCTGCTCTGCCCTTAACCTGCTCAGTAACCTTAGTTAAATGTTGTAAATGGGCTGTGGCTCGGAGTCTCCACCTATAAAATGGAAATAATAACACTCACTTGAAAAGCAAATTAAATTATTGTAAATCAAAGGATCTTTTAGTTAGATCCTACAGCTGCTGCTTTGTGAAGGTGGCATTTAGGACCAATTAATAGTGTACTTGAAAAGATTTCTTTTTAATGAAATAAACTTTACTTAATTTGAGATTCACAGTGGTGTAAGGTAGCAGTCTGAGGTAGTTTATGCATGCAAGGAACACGCGTAGATGTCACAGCTGCCATGTGGGATTCCCATCCCAGCATGTGAATTCTTTATTTTCCTGTTAACAGAGCAATGATTTCCTGGGCAGAAAGTCTTAGTTTCTGCAGTATATAGTAATTGCGAAACAGGGAGAACACTTGGGGACTGGCCAGAGGTGGTTGGTGAGAACCCTTTGACAGTGGCGTACACAGATAGCCCAGCGTGCCGATCCCACCCAGGCTGCAGCTGTCTTGTGCGAGCACATCCAGCACCTCCGTGTTTTATGGCATCCTGTTGTGCGTTTGTTTTGCACGTTCATTCTTCAGTCATATGATTGTGAAAATTTTGCTGGAGGAACTGGCTGTTGTTTTCAGCCATTTAACAAGCGTGTTCTCTGTTCCTTCCTCAGTTTAGATCAGCATAACCAGCCCCCAGGCGGCATCGTCATAGACAGAGAATCTGAGGTTTACAAGATGCTCCAGGAGAATCAAGAGTCGAATGAGCCACCCAGACAATCTGCTTCCTTCCTTGTGTTGCAAGAGATTTTGGAGTCAGAAGAGAGAGGTAAGCACTCACTGCACACCTAATCTGAGTTTGCTCTCCCCTTATGCCATTCCTTGGGCTGTGTACGGTGTTTAACAGCTAAAACTTCGTTTTCCTTCCTTAGCTGGTGATTGTTCAAGGTAGCATGTGTAGATGGTTTCCACAGAAACAGACCCTTTCGCTAACTTTACTCCTAAATTTCCTCTCCTTGATTAGTTTCAGTGTGTCTATGGCCCCATATCATTGCTTATTCATTGAGTGAGTGCTCAAGAAATAAACCCCTACAACATTTAGTTATCAAGAACGAATTTTAAAAGTTGCAAAAACTCTACTTTCTAAAGTTTTGCCCCTTTAAGATAATATTCACTGATTAAAGACCATCTTAGATTCAAGACTTTGAATGGTACCACAAGACAGGGCTCTTCAGTGAGTGCTAAAGCTTCTGATCTCCATCCCTCTACACAAGAAAAAGGATCCACTCCTGCAGCTGAATGTAAAAATATGGAAGCTGGGTTACAGTGAGCAGTTCATAGCTTTTAATCTCTGAAAGGCTCTGCTTGGCATTCTTGATCTGACATCTGGACTTGTGCAATTCAGGGCTGTAGACTTTAAGATAAAAAAAACCAATTAACTTAAGTGGGGGTCAAATCGTAGTCTTCTCTCCCCTTGAATAAAATAAAATAAACAAATAAATAGGAAAAGAATTCCAAGAATTACTTTTTTCCTTAGGCCAGTTGAGACTTTGTCTTTTGTGTTATTAGCTTGGCAGTGGAATGTTCAATTTCATCCAACAAAAGCCTCGTGGTGAGATATTTGCCGCAAAGGGAAACAGATCAGCCAAGTGCTGGTAGGTCTGAGAGATCTGTAAGGGAAGAGCAAAATGAAGGAAATAAGGAAACAATAGGAAGAAAGAAACCAGGATCTTGGAGTCTTTAATACACTGTTAAAATAGCTATCTGAAAGCATCTTTTAAATATTGAGTGTTTGCAACTTGCCCTTCAGGGTTCAGCTCCTGCATGGAAGGGACTGCAGTAGCCAAGACTTCTCACTCATCCAAGGTCCTCCCCTGTGCTTAGTAGTGCTGAAGACGATAAGAAGCAAAAGCCTCTCTATTTTATCTTTCTTTGAAGATTTGCAGCATTATTGGGATGCTCTAGCACAAGGTTTGCCTGCCTGATCACAGGCCAGGATAGGCTTTGGCATTGCTCCACCATGGGCTGATAATCACCCATGCGGAGCAGGGCCGGGAGGTTACGCAGCCCCAAAGGAATGTCTGTCCCCAAGGAGCCAGTGCCCCTGCCTGCCGCGCCACTCGGCTGGACTCAAACCCCGCTGCTGCTGAGTCAGATCGTGTCCGCAGCGATAAACAGCAGAAAAACAGCACGTTTGTTGGCTGATTCGCCGAGCCTGTCTTCAGGCAATGGTTTGTGAGCAGCAGCAGGGAACTATCTCCTCAGCTGGGACGAGTCCCTCGGGGCATTGCTGACTGTATCGGCTGCGCTGACTTACACCAGCTGAGAGCCTGGCCCGGGACTCGGGGCTCTGTCTGTGGGTGCTGGTGTGTGGAAGCACCACGGTTGGTCTGCGTTTAGACTCGACCCTGCGCTCTTAGGTGGAGGGTGTTTTGCAGGGCGGAACAGGTTACACTTCCTGTGGGTATTTGATTAAGCTGATTCCTTTAGGGAGATTTAAAAACATGCTGTCAATGTTCTGGTTGCGAGCAAAGTGCTGTTTGAGGCATAGGGAATGAGCAGAGGTGATAGGGAAGAGCCTGAAAATGTGGTTGCTGCTGCTTCCTTCCCAGCAAGGGTCACTTGCAGTAACTCTGTCGGGGGCCAGGTGCTTCCTGCTGTGTTTGGAGGGTGCATGGGCTGTTGCCCGCATTAGGGAACTTGCACCTCTTGGACCAGCATCTCTGCATGGAGCTGGGTGCAAACCTCTGAGCTGAAGGCTGCCCCAGAGGCAAAGCAGCGCAGTGTCACCCACCCCACGGGTGAGCGGTGGCACTCAGGCTGCACTCTCTGCTCAGCTGGGTGACCCAGAGGGGCAGTGGGCAGTTCCCCAGCTTTTCCCCTCAGCTCTTCTGTCAGTGGTGCTGCCCCGGACTGTGACGTGTGCCTGATGACCTTGCTGGTCACCAGAGTGTGCCTTTGGAGAGTTTGTCCTTCCCTTACACCAGGAACAACCGGTGCAGTGTGCTCTTGGCTTGACACTAGTCAGAAGGGTTTTATCAGCATCCCTCCCAGTCTGAGGTGGCATGGGTCTGCCCATCAACCCGCCTCTGCTTCTGGTGAAACATTGTGGGAGACTCTGTAGCCCTCCTTCCCTTGCAAGAGGTATTGAACCTCTTGCAAAAGTCATATAGATAAGGCTAGTCACATCAATGGTGTGATTTTATAAGAGGCTCCTTTTTCACTGCAGATATTTAAAGGCTTGCCTTGTATCCTGCATCTAGGATCTACTGCTGTTGTAGTCATCCAGGTCAGCAGATGTCTCCTGTGAAGGACCTGCAGGACATCCCTGCCCCAGAGAGGTTGCACTAGGGAGATACCGTCCCTGGAGCATGCTACACAGCAGCAGGAGAGCACAAGGTTATCCCCGGTGTCCCAGGGCCCTGCCACAACAAGGAGTTTGTTAACCAGCTCTTCCAGGAGTCCTGGGGGAGCCAGCCCCACCGTGCACCAGACAGCAGACTGGAAAAAGACTTTGACAGTACTCCCTAGTCTGCCAGGATACCCACCTCCTCTTTCTGAGTCCAGATTTGGGAATCAGCTTGACCCTGTGTGTGTGATCAGGACACAACAGGCAGACTCTGGTGCCGCCAAGGCTGGGGCTGAGGCTTTGCTTTGCTTTGTGCATCTGTGCATGCGAGACACATCAGCTGAAGTCTGATAGGCTTTTTAAGATGAGAAGAGACAGCATCATCTCATCTGACTGCCCACAGTCTCAGGCCCTTGGGTTTCCAGGGCCAGGTTCAGCTGTGTCCCTTCCTTTTCTCCCTCCTCCCCACACACCCCTAAATCCCTTCCCCCTTTCCATGCATGAATCCCTGCCTCAGAGCTGGGGTTAAAGAACATCACCCCTCCCTAGCAGAGCACCTGCTTGGGAGGAAGAGCCTAGAGCCACGCATCTCACATGCTCTGAAGCACTCTCCTTCCACCCCCAGGAGACCCTACCAAACCATCTGGATTTAGGAGCGTCAAAGCCCCCACCACAAAGGTGGCGTCATCCATTGGGAACGCCCAGAAGCTGCCCATGTGCGAGAAGTGTGGATCTGGCATTGTGTAAGTAAGCCTGTCCCTGGGGTTGCAGGCCATGGCCGAGCATCCCCTGCCTGTGCTAGGGGCTGAGGCACTGCACCCGAAACACTTCACCTACCCACATGCAGTGCATCCAGGAGCCGGCTCAAGGCATGTTTATTCTCACCAGCTTTGATAACGCTAGCTTTGCAGTTCCTTGCAGTGAGGCAGGAGTTGGGTTTCCTTCTACAGATCTGTATCAGGAGAAAGCAAAGCAAGTCCCTGTGAGACAAACCTCAAGAAAGTTGTTGCTGCAGTGTTTTGCTTCCTACCTGAAATCTGTTTACAGCACCCAGAAACCAAATGATCTTTCCATTCAGGGCCTGTGTATTTAATGATTTCATGTCTTGGCACTCCCAGCCATGGACTGGGGGCTTGCCCTGGTGGTGAGAGGCAATGTGGACTGGGAGAGCTGCATTCTGCTCCCCACTCTGCTGTAAGACCACACACCTCCACTGTGTCTATGCAGACATAATTTTTGTTGTCTTTATGTGAGTACATCTGACTTCCAGCACAGCAGGGGCATGGGTTCAATACAGAGCTGCTGTACCATAAGTGTGACAGCACAAAGGACCCATCCCATGTCTTTGATTCACTGTTCTGTTTCTCAACCACAAATTCTTCCCTACAACCCCCTTAGCTTAACAGTTGACTCCAGCAGTCAAGTGCTGGTAGCTGACCTGCATCTTCATGGAAGAATACAGATTTCTCCCATGCTCCCACCACAAGCTATCAGATTGTTGCTGAGACCGGCTACGCTGTGATTGCATGGTCCTGGCATGCCTGGAGTGCCAAGGACTGGCAGAGTCATTACAGAGGGCAATCCATAGCCTGTAAAATATGAATCGGAGACAAACCCTACAATTATTCTACCAGCTGGGTAGAACTGGAGAGAAAGCACAAGGCTATGAATAGCACTAAAAGCTAATGAATTACAGAAAATATAGATGGCTGCTGGAACAGAATGATACTCCTGGCAAATTGTTGTGTTGCTGCTGGTGGTAGTTAACATGTTGCTATGTAGTTTTCCTCATCATCTGCTTGGTTAAGCTATGAAGTTTTCCAGTAAGAGCTGGCCCACATTTGGCTGGACCCATTCACTGCAGCTCCCGAGCAGCAGCGTCTGAGATCAGAGCCAGGATCTGGTCTCTGTGCGTCTCCCATACATACCTGGTGTGTCCATCACTAGCAAAAGGGCAGTGGCTGGCTGTGCAGCCCTTCATCCCCCTCAGTCGGTGGTGGCAGTTGTTTCTGGATTTGTTCTGCAATCCAGTTGGTTTGGACCTGGATTTTGCTCCCCAAGATGGTCACGCTAATGCCTGTCATTTGATCCTGGGCATTTGAAGGCTGTTGCGCTGTCTCCAGCCGTTTTCTAAAGATGCCAGCACAGTGATTCTTGCCACCAACAGGTGATAGGACTGTCCCTGTGAAACTTAGGCAGGCCAGTGCTAGGATACACTTTCTAGAAGAGGGCTCTCATGCTGGCACATGTTGAGCTCTAAAAGTGCTGTTAACATCTGCCAGACCAGAGATAGGGCCTATACTTTGCCTTGTTGGGCACAGGAGAAAATTGTCCACTTTCAGTGCCAGTGTGGGTCTGGGCTGGCTGGGAGGTGGCTGGGAATGAGGGAGGCAGTGGTGGGTGCCTGGTGCTGAGAGGTGCTGGTTCCTTCCCCAGAGGGGTGTTTGTGAAGATCCGGGACAAGCAGCGTCACCCCGAGTGCTACGTGTGCAGCGACTGTGGCACCAACCTCAAGCAGAAAGGACACTTCTTCGTGGAAGACCAAATCTACTGCGAGAAGCATGCCCGGGAGCGGGTGACTCCTCCAGAGGGCTACGAGGTGGTCACTGTCTTTCCAAAGTAAACTGTGCTGCTCACAAAGCCAGTGTGGATGGTTTTGCCTCTGCTGCTTTTCCTTGGAAAGCATCATCCCTGCCCCCCGCCGAATCTTCTTTGCAATAAGGAATGCTAGGCATGGCTTTGAAATTCTTTGCCATAATTCTCCATCTGTTCACATGAGATGTCACTAATTGTTCAACATTCTTTTTGTCTCCTCTTTCACTGTTTGTTTGGTTTTTTTTTTAAATACACAGAAATTCCACCCCCTGACCTCCTCTTTGTGCTGTCAATTGCACAGGAAAATCAGAGGCCAGAATCAGATTACAGCTCTTCTGTGTCCCAGTTATTTGCCTTCTGTTTGCATTCAATAAACAGGGTGAATCCTCAAGGCAGATGTGTCTGCTTTCTCCTGGTGTCCTTCTGCACTGCACTGGGGTTCCCAAGGCAGCAAGAGAGGTGCCCAGTGCATGGCTGTGTTTACCCTGGAGAACAGCGGGAGGGAATTACAAAAGTGAGACAAAGTGGTTTTGCATGCTGCTGTTAGCAGCCTCCTGCTGGCATCCAGCAAGGGCCAGGTGGGCACAGCCAAGCCACAGACCATAGCTGGCACTGGTGGCCTTTCCCGACTGCAAGGCAGCCGAGGGCTGCCTCCAGCGCTGCTTCATGGTGATGGGACTGGGCACCTCAATGCTACTGCATCACACAGGTGTCCCTCCGTTCCCCACAATCACAAACTGAGCTCTATGAAAAAAATGTCCACCTGATGCTTGCTCAAAACCACGGAGTCCTGGAGCAAAGAGGGGAAGGTTTGAGTGGCCGTAGTCCCTGTTCCGTCTGTCCCTGTTCATTCCATGCCAGCTACCCTGTCCCTGCATCGCAGACTTGGGGCTGGGTGCAGGCTGGTGAGGGTGGGTCTCACCACCACACACCCCCTTGTCCAAGCCAGGGCAGACCCCATGGCTGTTTCTGTCTGCAGACATTTGGGACAGTTCCCTGTGCAAGGTGCCATGTGGCTGCCAGACGTGCATGGCTGCTGGAGGGTGCCTTTGGGGTTGGTGTGGGGAGGGGGGCACATGCCCCGGGTGCACTGATGAGGGGCTGATGGTGCTGGAGCAGCAGCATCTCCACCCATGTATAGCAAAGAGGTGGTCTGCGGGGAAGTTATTTCTCTGCTCACACCTCGGAATGAGATGCTGGCTGTTCTTTCAGTGTAAAAATAAATGGTTTCTAAGACATAGTGTCATCTTTGCGTTAAAAGAAATGGCCAGAGGTTGAAAATAGAAAGGTTTGTAGCTGTGTACAGGCCCTCCTGGCAGACACAGGGCACCCTCCATCCCTGGGGTTAGTGGGTGCCTCTGCAATAGCTATGGACACAGGGTCATGTGCCTGTCCTGGAAAGTCCTGGCCATCTTCAGCAATGCCCCGCATTTCCTTCACGATGAATCACACCACAGCACAGCTTGCCTTGCAAAGAAAAAAAAAAACCCACACACCACCACACTCACCAAAACCAACCCTCATCTGAGGTAAAGCTGACCTGTCACCAAGATTGCAAGCCTCCCACTGTCCAGATCAACTGTACAGCTTCTTTGGCAGGTTGGGGAGGGGACTAATTCACCAACCCAGCTAAATTTAGCTCATCCCCTCAGGCTCCTTCTATGGGTGGTGGCAAGCAAGCGAGGATGGCATAGCTCAGCCAGCAAATGCCTCATCCACCTCATCCCTGGGAAAAGCCTGGCTTCTCCGTGCTGCTGGCACATGCTTGCACACACATCTGCACAAACTCTAGCTACTAACACAAGCAGCTTTATTTTTCAAGGTGAGTGGGGTTTTTTTTGGCCTGTGGGGTGACATCTCCCCTCACTGCTGCCAAAGGGGGTTAATTCTTTCCCCTCCACGGTGCCTTTCCCCAGGGAAAGGCTCTCCATGCTGCTGCGATGGCAGGTGCAGGCAGGACAAAAAGCCAGTGCAGTGGTGGGGAGCACAGACCCGCAGGGCCGAAGGAGTAAACCTGTAGGAACAGATTGCTCTGGCTGCAGCTCAGATCAGTGCCCAGGCCCTGCCGTGGGACCGTGGCTGCCCCCAGCACTGCCCGCTCCTTGCTACCCACTTTCTCAGCAGGCTGGGGGCTCCTGGTTGCCCACCGCCCGTGGCCGGCTGCTTGCCTTGCGGGAAGAAGATGCTGGGCCGCTGGGGCCATCGGGCGTGCTGCACCCCAACGCCAGCACTTGGGCTGAGCTCGCCAGCTTGTGCAAAGTCACCAAATGTTTTCAATACTGTACAAACGTCAGTCAGGAAAAAGTGGCTCGTTCCAGATAACCTCACAAGCTTGCTCTTGCGTCAGGGGGTCATGACGGAAGAGCCTGAGCCATGCCCGGCATTTCCCCTGCCCTCCCACCGCCAGCCCTGCGCTGCAAGCAGACGACAAGCCCCCTTTGTGCAGGGCTGCGTGCTTTATCGCCCCGGCCGAGCTCCTGCAGCGAAGGCTGGCAGCACTGCTGGGAAAACACTGATTGTGCAGAACTCCATGCAGGAGCCAGGAACTACAAAAGGTTTGTGGGACAGCTCTGGAGGTGCGGGGTTCTAATGCAGATACCAGTGTTGATCCAATTTATTACCATGGGAACAGGCTAGCCAGGCAATTCACATTCATTGCTTGGGGAGGACTTTGATCGCTCTCTGCTATAGCTCGCTCACTGAAAAAAGGAAATGTATTCATTTTTTATGATGCAGGACAAAGTACTTGGCAACTGCAGTGTTCGCTGTCCTCTGACTTTCCAAATTCCTCTGGAGTTTAACAGTTGGCATCTGGAGTTTGTCAACAATAACAAAATAGGTTAAATAGGGTCACACCTGCAGCCACACTGAGCCACCTGCTCCAGAAGTTAACAATAACATAAGATAATACATAAAAGGTACCTATCTGAAGAGTGTCAGGCAGTTTGTAAGTCAGCTAGCATCCTGCCAAAGAGGGACTGTCTCAGGTAGGTGTGCAGCACGATCTGCCATTTTTAACACAGATTACTTGGGCTTCTGGTCATGGCCTCTCCCTGCCACCACCGCATCTCCCATTCCTGTGTGCAGCAGACAGCAGTTGTGTGCTGCTGCTCCCTGTTGGCTCAGCCACAGTGTGGAAAGCCACCAGCACATCAGCCGTGGGCCACAGCAGGCTGGAGAGGAGGGCTTGCATGGGACAGAGCAGCACTTCTCCCTTCTGAGCTGAAAACACAAACCGCTTTTTTTTTTTTTAAACTGGTTACACAGTTAAAAAGACCCTGCTGCTGGCAGTGACTCAACAGAGCTGGCCCCCAGGAGATAAAGCAGATAGAAAAGGGTTAAAAAAATCCCCAAACTAACAGCATCACCAAGACCGATCTCTCATTGCCTCCCCCTCCCACTCCACACCATCACCACCACCACCCTCCCCCCAGCAAAACAGCACCAAGCAGCATGGCCAGCTGCTCCAGCTTGCACCTTAAGTTTCATTTGCTAATGGCAACCCTGTGAGCTCAGAGTGTTGTCAAGGTCGGGTCTTGGCAGCTCAAACATCATCTTTGCTAGGGAGGCAAGTGAAAATACCTGAATGATGGTATGTGCGGAGTGCATTTGAGTGCGCATGAAACACCATTAAATAGGTTCTAATATGTGAGAAGTTTACCACACATTTTCTTGTCGTCACCTGGAAAAGCCATCAGCAGCCTTTCCCCAGCCCTCCCCGGCTAAAAATATGAGCTGCTTGCCAGATTTAACACAAACAACAAAAACCACAAAAAAAACCCCAAACCCCCACAAGAAAACCCCTGCAAATACACAAAGTAGCAACACCACAAGCAAGCTGAGAGCCCATCTTTCTGTCCACGCATTTGGCCTCAACAAACATCTGCAGACACCCCCAAGAGGAAGAACAACAGTGAGTATATCTGGGTGCAGCATGGGACAGGAGCACTGCTTCCAAGCCATCAGGACAAATCCATGCTTCAAGAATTTGTCTTGTATCCACTGAAATATTTTTCCCCTCTAATGGGTGATCAAGGGGATGTTACTTCACCCAGAACACTTTAAAACTGTCAGTACCAGGCACCCCCCGCATCCTCACATGGTCATTAATGCATTTACTTGTGGCTCTCCCCCACCTACAGAAAGGAAGGCTGCTTTCTGAAACACCAGCACCCCTTACAGCACGCCCCAGACTTTGCTGGTAGGCATTAAGCGCACAAATGCCGGACTGCCCCTTCGTAGCTTGGGGAATAAGAAATGCAAGGTCATGCCAAGAAGGTACTGTACTTGCTTGGATCAGTGACATTCACAGTACTTTGGGAGAAGAAGAAAACCAAAAACACCACACCAAAAACCCCAGTGGACAGAGAGATGGGCTCCTCTGCAGCAGCAAGCAGAAAACGTGCATTGCTTTTGCTTTTTGGAGGTGGGCTAAAAAAGCAGCCACAGTTCTGCAGTCTCTCTCTAAATCAAGCTCCACACATCACTAGAGAGTGACCATGTTTCACTAATGCTACCATTAGCTAATTTATGCATTTTTAGGAAGTCAGCAATTATTATTAAATCCTAGCTGTGCTGACTATGGGATAGAACTGTTCATTTTTATTTTCCACCATATTGCCCTGCAGTGACATCCAGGTAGCTGTGCGGGTTGAGCAGGGTAAATCAGTCTTCAACAGTCAGGTAAGCCTGTTTGGAAGCTGTTACGTCAGTTATTATTAAAACTTTTATAATTATTCCATTTAGATGCTATTGTAGATACTTGATTTACTCTTAAATCTTGTAGTAGGTCTTCGCTAGCATAAAACAATGCATAAAGCAGACTAGCACAGCAGCTCAGCAAATGTGAGTAACACATGGAGACAGCACATGTTGGACTTTGCATTATTCAGGCTAATAAGTAACTGAGCAGAAAACTTAGAAACTTCTGTCTTCAGCAATTAGAAACAAGATAGGGCTTTCCACAGGCAAAGGTCAAAGCCAGCCTACTCATTAACTTAACAGATTTATTTGTTCCCCTATAGAGATAAGGATAAACATCTCTCACTAATATAAAATAACTTTCTCTAAATCAGGCTAACAGATTACTCTCCACAGAGAGTAAGAATGATCATAAAGTGACTGGAAACTAGTTTCTGAAGTCTGATAGATCGGGTAGGATTTCATTTTATTCCACATTACCTATGCCTTGGCATAACTAGCACAACTGCAACAGCTCCAGCTGTGATCCCATGACTGCAGCTTCTAATTACACCTAGATGACTTTTTCACAAACCAGAACTGAAAGTTTAAGAGCTACCTGATGCCCAAGTTGAAAACCATTGCTTACAGCTGGCTCTTAGAGGCTACATATGCAAGTAATATACTTTACCTGTCTTTTCTGCCCC